CTCTTCTCTCTCTTTGACTGGATTCCTGAAGCTCTGCCTTGTGTGTGGTTGTGGATCTCTGCATCTACTTCCATCAGTAACTGGAGAAAAGCTCTGGATGACAGTGGGGTATTCACCGATCTGATCTCTGGGGCAAGCCAGTTCATTTCAGGCACCCTCTCCACTATTGCTAGTAGCCCAGGCTGGGGTCATCCTTGGGGATTCCTGGCAACTTTCCTAGCACCAGGTTTCTCTATCCCCATGATATCTCCCTCTATCATGGTATCTCTTTCATTGCTTTCCCCTCCATCCCTGTTCCAGTTCAACCATCTCATTCTCTTATCCTCTTATCCCCTATCCCCTACCCTCCATTGCCCACCCCTCATACCTAGTTAAATCCCTAGCTCATCAAGGGCAAGATAGTGTTACAGAAAACATTGCATTTGATGGGAATGCTTCAAAGAAAGCTGGTGGAGAGAATTTTTTTTTTTTTTTTTTTTTTGTAATTCATGCCCATGGTGCAAGGAAAGGAGAAAATGCAACAAACAGTATAAAAGGACAGAGTTCAAATTTTGTTAGTCTCTAATGTACAGGTTTCCTTCTCCACAGACAACCTGATTATAAAAGGATGGTTTTAAAAAACCATTTCAAGGGCAGTGGCAGCGCACGCCTTTAATCCCAGCACTCGGGAGGCAGAGGCAGGCGGATCTCTGTGAGTTCGAGGCCAGCCTGGGCTACCAAGTGAGTTCCAGGAAAGGCACGAAGCTACACAGAGAACCCCTGTCTCGAAAAACCAAAAAAAAAAAAAAACATTTCAAAGTACTGATTTTATGTCTATTTAAAAGGAAAGAAGGGAGCAGAGAAAAGAGCAGGATGGAGAGAGGGAGGAGGATAACAAAGAAAACAACTCCACACAAATGAATGTCTGAGCACAGAAAAAGCAAGAAATACACAGAGAGAGAGAGACAGACAGACAGACAGACATGCAGACACCCACGCAAGCACATATGCAAGCATGCATTCACGCATGCACACATGCACATCTCTTAACTGTGGTTACCTGAGAGCATAGACCAGAGAACTTCAGTGTCCTTGATATATTTCCGTTCCATTTGTCTTAGGACAACAGTTCTATACTGCTTTTGCAATTTAAAAAATAAAATTCCACGCCGGGCGGTGGTGGCGCACGCCTTTAATCCCAGCACTCGGGAGGTAGAGCCAGGCGGATCTCTGTGAGTTCGAGGCCAGCCTGGGCTACCACGTGAGTTCCAGGAAAGGCGCAAAGCTACACAGAGAAACCCTGTCTCGAAAAACCAAAAAAAATAATAAATAAAAAATAAAATAAAATTCCACAAGAGTAAAGAATGAAAGGAAAAGTAGAACAGGAACTAACTAGTGTTAGTCCAAAGAGCCAGACAAACAATCATCTAAGAAGCTACCTGCGAGTGCAGCTAAGGGAATGTGCTGAGAAGGATTTCTTTAGTTAGAAGAGAAACTGAAAGGTGACAGTTGGAGTGACTGAGGTGACAGGAGGCTACCTACTGGCTGGCATCAGCTGGCCACCCATCTACTTCCTGCCACAATATTACTTCTACAACTTTTTACTGACTGCTTCTCTTTTTAGTTATATGTTTGCTTTTAGCATAATATCTCAATTTCACATGCTACACACTTCCTGAGACTGGAGGTCTCAGGGATAATTGTAGAGGATTTTTTAAATAGGTATGAAAAAAAAAGAACAATAAAGTTAGAGTCTACATGTCACAATCTGTTTGCTTAGCATGTGTGAGACCCTGGGGTCCATGCCCAGGACATGATTTAAAAAAAAAAAAAACTGACACGCATCACATGCCCAGTGCTTAACAGATGAGCAAGACTCTAGCTCAGGAAAATATGAGCACATCTTGTGAGCACATTATCATGAAAACACAGAAGGCATCAAACACACACTTTGCTGCTAGTCACTTTACTGTTCAGTGTTAACTGCAGGGAATATGCTTCTGGGGTTAAAATAGACCTCATTATCTTTCCTGGCCTATAGCTTTCTATACTTAAAGTGGTTCCATCTCTGGCTCATTTGAAAATCTAAAGACAAAAAGAACCATAAAGAAAAAGAAATAAAAAGCAGAGTACACAGTTCCAAGAAGGTACGTTTGAAGTTCCCATACAAGCTGACTTGAAAAAGTCGTAGCTCAATGGTAGAGTACTTGCCTAGAATGTACAAGGCCATAGGTTCAACTCCATAGCACCAAAAGAAAATGGTTTTCTTTTTTAGTTGACACTGCTCAACTGAGCCAACTCTCTGTGCAATAGGATAAGGCAGCGGCAGCTGCAGTCCCATGGTGATGCGTCATGGCAGAGCTTTGGGGCCCAATCCCAGTGGTAACAGAGTGCTTAGGGCACAACTGATACCTGAAGGTATCCTTACCACAACCCAAAGCTCCAATTCATGCCCTTTTACAATCCTTCGTCTTCTGATCTTCAGCCTTGGAAAGCTACATTCTGCCACTTTCCACAGCTAGGAAATTCCCTTACCGCAAGCCACAACAACTCACAAGGCAAGACAAATAAGCATTCCCCCAGCTGCAGAGCGGAGCCAGGCTTCCGTCATGCAAATAAGTGCTCCCAGTGGAAACACTGCCATGCCCAGTGCTTAACAGACGAGAAAGACACTAGCAGAGGAAAATAAGAACATATCTTGTCAGCACGTTACCATGAAAATGCAGAAGGCATCAAACACATGTTTTGCTGCTAGTTGTTTTAATATTCTGTGTATCTGCATAGGAAAAACATATACTGGAGAGGTTAAAATAGACCTCATCTTTCTTGACCTATAGCTTGCAAGACTTAAAATGGTTCCTTTTTTTTTTTCAGCAAGTTTCTTTGTCTCTGTGTTGGAAACATTCAAAAATCCTCTTTTTGGTTATTTTGAAATCTACAATAAATTATTGTAAATGTTTAAAGTGATGGATATGCTAATTGCCTTGATTTGATCGCTGTACACTGTATCTATGTAACAGGGGCCCTAAGGATTAGAATTTCCCCTGGGAAAATCCATGCTAGGGTGAGGATAAGCCACCCCCAGGAGCCCTTTTACCAGAGGCTAAGCTGGTTTCTCACGAGAAAAGATTTATCTCTGGCTTCTAATAACTTGGACTCACTGCTACATTTATATATGCATTATTTCCAGCCTGGTGCTTCACCTTTTGTAAGTTGTAACACTGATGTGGACAGAGCTGAGAGGGATTCAGTTTCTGGTTGCTCAGTTCCAGCCAAAGCAATATAGACCCTTCATTAATTTTGGTGCATATATGTGCAAAGAGGGGAAGGGAGGGGTGGGGAGCGAGAGGGGAGGGGTGGGGAGCGAGAG